TCTTCGACGTCCATCAAAGCAATTTCAATATTTCCGCATCGTTTTTGCCATTCGATTGCTCTTTGTTTTTCTTTTATAGGAAATTTGAAATAACTTATTCCATTATCTTTTAACCTGTGTTTTCCACAATTAATATAATAACACATATTTTTAAGCGGCATTTTCTTGAGGGCACTAATGCATACGATAAAAATTACACTTAGAACTGCCGAGAACACTAACAACAGAAGAATAAAATTTCAATTTAGGGGGCTAAGCGCACACTTGCGCACAAGTCCTCAAGCTACTTCAACTTGGGTAGCGCCATCTAAATGTGGAGATATTTTACGGCGACGCGTAAAACTATCGTATGACATGTCTTGTTAAATTTCTCAGTCAACGGTTCTAGTTTTAGTTTAATTGGCACCAGCCTTGAAAGTCTTGGTACTTGTAGATCCTAATAGTTAAGATTGCTTTTTTGATAATTTTAAGTCACGAACCAGATCGTTAAGATCAGCTTGGTTGTATCATGAATTTCATCTGCAATTGCTACATAATTGTAAATCGATTGCAGATTGGAGTTAAGAAAACAACTTTTCACCCACCGAACACATGTCTTACATCATATACCAAGTCACTTAGAAATTACTTTTCATTAAGTTTAGCAAAGCACATCGCCTTTATTTTTTTTTTGTATCGCTTTCACGATAAACGGTAAAGTTAAGTTCACAGAAAACTGCATAATGACAAGGTAGTCATAATCAAGGCTTATATTGGTGATGCAAGTCTCTAACTTATCCAAAAACATTCCAAAATTCCCCCTGGGAGGTCTATAAACTACTCCAACTTCAAATTTGACATCTTGCAACTGCGCAATAAGCTATAGGTCATTAATATGCTCTTAAAAACCTTAAAATATACAGGATGTTCCATTTAAAAAGTCGTAACTCAAACTGCCGTCATCATTTTTATTTTATTTCTACACCAAGATATACGGAAAATTGTTTCAAGTAACTTTTATTTAAAACTTTTTTTAATATTAGTTGAACCATGATGAAGCTGAGGCTGTAGAACCATTATTCCATACTTTTTGTACCTCTGTATAATTCAGACACAACAATCTTGAGTACATCAAAAACATCCTGAATGGTTGTTGACTTTTTACTAAGAATTGCTTCTAATTACTTGCTCATAATTAGTACATTGGTTTGCTATAATTAAATAATTTAAAAAGCAAAGCAAACAGGAAGAGACAAGGATACAAACTTCACGCCACCGGTGCCGTTCAAGGTGACTAAACTTTAAAAAACAAAACGAATAGGATAAGAACAGGCAACGGAGAGGTATATCGTGATAACAAGGGTAATAAACATGGAAAATATACATTAAGCGATAAACTCGTTTTATTGCTACGCGCAAAAAAAAGAGAAGACACAGATTCGTGTTTCCTCGCCTGTACTCTCAAATAAATCACTCAAAAACTTATATAGACATACCATTTGAGTCCCAATCTAGTGGTCAATAGACTAAAGAAAATAATCTCAGAAACTGTAAACAATTAATTCGCAAGATTACCACTAGAAAAGTTTAAAAAAACACGGAGCATCACTAAAACATAATAATAATAATAATAATAACTTTATTCAGGCTTCATCAAGTACAAACTTAAAAAGAAAAAAATATTATACATATACATAGGTAAAGAAAATGATAAGTACATGCTAAAGTAAAATAAAATACATTAAAGCCTGAATTTAGGCGGAGTTCAGGTAACACCTGTTCTACCACTCAAACCCAAATCAAAAACAATAATAAACTAAAAAAAAATTCAATGACAACTGAGCACCGTCATAGGCTAATGTTGAACATGCACAATAGTTAGCCACACATACTATACTATAGAGTGTCCAAAAAATATCATACAAGAGTCTCATCCCTCGAGGCCACCAAGCACAAGCCCACAGTCACACACCCAAAACCCAGTCCCGCAAAGATTTCTTAAATCGGTTCAAGGGTAGACCCACTAAATGTTTAGGAAGATTATTATAAACAGATGTAATTTGATATGAGAAGCATCTCTTAAAAAATTCCAAACGATGGGAAGGAGGAGTTAACCTACCCCTGAACCGGATATTGACATTGTGTACGTCCGTTCTAAAGTTAATTCTGTCGAATAGATAAGGGGGGCTCCGCTCCGTAATAATCTTATAATAAAAACATGCTTTGTGAACATACCGACGCGACTTCATATTCATCCATTTAAGTTTCTTAAAAGCAAAAGAGACATGATCGTACTTTCTCAACCCAAAGATCAGCCGGACACAGGAATTCTGGAGCTTTTGAATTTTCTGTTGATGGCGGGAGTCAATAAATGAACCATAAATGTTATCACAATAATTAAAATGTGATAAGACGAGAGAGTCACACAAGAGTTTTTTAACAGAATTATCAAGGCAATGTCGATTACTGAAAATCAATCTCAGAGAGCCATATGCCCGCTTTAACAGCATATTAACATGTTCCCTAAAGTTTAGTGACTCATCAATAATCAGGCCAAGGTTCCTAACAGATCCACTCAGAGGAAGAGGCACATTTCCCAGCGAAATGTGGTAGAATCTGTCGATAAAGATTTTTTTCAATTTAGTAGGACCAAATAGGATCATTTGAGTTTTCCTTTCATTAATTCTTAGACAGTATTCCCGAGCCCCACTGACAATACTAAACAGATCACGCTTGAACTCATTAAGTCCTTCTTCAAAATGGCTTTCAGGGAAGGACAGGTAGATCTGAGTGTCATCAGCATAATAATGAATTTTACAAAAATCAACAAAACTATTAAAATTTATAGTATAAATCTTAAACAGGGTGGGCCCCAATACCGAGCCCTGCGGCACCCCAGACTCAATCTCCAAAGGTCCCGAGACGTTACCGTCAACACAAACAGATTGAATTCTACCTTTAAGGTAATTGGAGAAAAAATCCAGCGCAACAGGGTCGGCACCAATATGTTTAAGAATGGACAGTAATAAATTATGGTTAAGTGTATCGAATGCCTTCGAAAAGTCCAGCAATCCTAACAGGGTCAATTTATTGGAGTCAGTAGCTATGACAATGTCATCAACTATGTTATTCAGAGCAGACTCGCATCCATGTCCCTCCCTGAAGCCAGACTGGTTCACCGGAATTATGCGCTCGGAGTCCAGGAAGTCTATCAGCTGGCTGTTAACAATCTTTTCCAAGACCTTGGACAAGGAACACAATATACTTATGGGCCTCAAGGAAGAAAAATCAATGGGATTAGACACTTTAGGTACCGGAATGACAATCGACTTTTTCCACAGTGAAGGAAAAACACCCTCCAGTAGACAAGTATTAATTATGTTTACTATATGAGATAAAATTACAGGACAAGCCAGTTTAATAAAATGAATTCCAATACCATCCGCGCCGACAGCATTCGACCTTACGCCCTGCAATACATTCATGATAGAACTTTCGGAAATGAGGCTAAATTTAAAGATATTAGGGCCAAACTTAGAGTTATTGTAAACGTTTATCAGATTATCAACTCTACAATCACCAGAGCACTGGGTCTTCAAAAAATGGTCGTTTAATTCAGAACAATTTTTTAAGTTATTTGGCAAGGAATGATCCTGAAATTTTAGTAAATTATTTCGACGAAGCACTTTCCACGGATTAGTAGAATTTTGGATTTCCTGAGTCATATAGGCACGCTTCTCATTTTTAATAGAATTATTCACAAGATTCCTCAAATCCTTATAATAATTCCAATCGGCCAGACTCTTTGTTCTTTTAAATTTAGAAAGGGCTTTATTTCTTAAGTCCCGCATAAGCCGAACACTATCAGTAAGCCACGGGCATGGGACGTGGTCACCAGAAACCTTTACCAGCGGGGCAAATCTATCAATAGCCAAAGTTAACAAACAATTAAATAAATCTACTTTCTCATCAATATCACGTAAGTAAAATATATTGTCAAAAGGAAGAGACCGCAAGAAGGCCAAAAAAAGGGACAGGTCAAAATATTTCAGAGATCTAACATACCTGGAGGAGGCAGTTGGCTCAAAGGATAAATTGAACTTGCAAGAAACGAGCTCATGATCACTCACATTGTGGACAGAAACAACATATGCCTCAACGATAAGTTCTTACTTTATAATTTTCTTACTTTTAGTTATTCATGCATTCATGTGTGATACATTTTTATATGGTCTTTACGGTTTGGTAATGCGCGATAATCTGTATTATTGAAAAACTGGAGTTGGAGGTATTCAAAATATATAACTTAGATCTAGAAATAATAGGGTTTAGCCATGCCTCTCTCAAGACGGCTAAACATAAATATTTCTAGTTCTATCTTCCTGGTGACCAAAACATCCAGGAAATGTAACTGGTAATTTCTGAAGATGCTCTTTCTATGCTGCCAGATCACCTAGGTGTCATCCACGTAACGAAATCATAGCTTTGGTTTCTACTTTCTACAAAAATAATATATCTAAATCTAATAAATCTGAATATAAATGAATAAATATCTGGTTTATAGATTTTTTTATCTATAAATTCATGGTGTTATTGGGTCCTGTACAAACAAACTTCTTTGTTGTTCTGCTGGAGTTTCTGTAGATTTGATCTTCTTAATTTTCTTGTAGGTGGCTAGAGCCAGGAGACTTCCCATCTTGTCATCATATCCTTTCGTGTCCTTTGCTGGTAGATAATGTCTGCTTTCTCTCTGATCGTCCGCAAATATGTTATGATTATAATTTATTCATCTGTATATGATCAAAAACGTTTGGTGATATTGTCATACATTTTGTCATTGAATGATACAAATGAGTTGTATTAATGAGTACTTCTTTCAAGAATTTTAATTGGGCAAACTATTTTTAAAATAATTTTCAAAATTTCAAGAAAAATTGTTAAAAATGAATTGATAAACATAATATTAAGTTAACAGTAGTTAATTTTTAATATTAATCGATATTTTTTTCTCAATTTTTAAGATCAACAGTGACACACTCGCCCAATGCTACCGAAAACAATTATCCGACCAAGAGGATCGTCACCATCGCGAAATCCTCGATTTACAATTACAAATTGATCGAGGATTATCCACCAATATGTCGTTGGAAATGATTTCAACGTCCACCCCGGTGATGCCACCTCGTGAAGAAGGAGAAGGTTCAGAGAGTGTTGAAAGCTTGTTAGGGAACACTTCAAAACCGATTTCCTTAGAAAAATTATTAAGCAACGAAAACGAACAGGAAACTTATTCTATTAAGAAGCAACTAAATGAAAACGAAGCTAAAGTTAATCATTTAACAGCTTTGTTGTCTGATACAGAACAAGATTTAGCTAAACACGTTCAAATGAATCAAGTTTTAAAGGAAGAAATTCGACGACAAAGACGATCGTTGGAACGAGAAGAACACGCTGAAAACTTAGAGTATTTAAAAAATGTTATTTTTAAAGTAAGATGAATAAAAAAAATTGTAAATCCTTTAATTTAATTTTTTTAATTGTGTATTATTTTTTTAGTTTATAACACTAGGTCAAGGAGATGAGAGAGAACGTCTTATTCCAGTATTAAACACAATTTTGAAGTTGAGTCCTGAAGAGAGTCAAAAATTATCTACAGTTGCACGAGGTGAAAAATCTTGGTCTACTTACTTACCGATTTGGAAACAATAAATTAATTAATTTAAATAAAATCATTGTAAATATTGTAAAAAAGTTATTTAAATAAATAAAAATCGAAATATATTTTTAACAAAAATGATTATTTTTTTAATGAATTTAAAAATTCAAAAAAACCGCTCCAAAAAAAATTTTAATTTTAGTTCGTTGAGCCGCCGCCATTTGGCAGGTTTATTTTTTGCTCACCTCCCCTATTTCGCTTTCGCGAATTATTTTCGTCGAAACGATTGTGTAAAATCCCAACGCAATTATGTGAATTGTATTTGAATGATTTATTAAACATTTTGAAACGATCTTTCGGTTTAATAAGTATTTAAAAAGTGTTTTTATTAAAATCAATACGTCCTCCCACCGTCGTATTACCCCTTCGTACTTCCGCTCTATCGACGGTCGGCATCAAACCGGTCTTCTCGCCCTGCGAAGGTGCTTTTGACTACTGCTCGACGAGATTTTAACCTTTTTTGCGAAGAATCAATCCTGATTTGTTCCAAAATAAGATCATCTTGACCACACAAGTAAGTAATCGATTAAATCAATCATTTTTTTATTGATTATAACCTCATTTTTTTAAATGGACATTTTCAAACTATTTCGACCATTTTTTTTTACCGGTAACTCGATTTCGGCCGGTAAATTTGTTGTCTATTTTTTTTTTTTTTGATAAGTGTCATTTATAAATGTCATTTTTATCCGAAAAATATTATTAACCACAGTTTAACTAAAAATTTAAGGTAAGTTCTTTTTTGTACGTTTATTTATTAAGTCGGGTTGTTTTTTTTTTTTCGTAAAGGTTATTGAAAAAGAGATATTTTTATTAAGGTTTAAAATTTTCCGTTTTGAACTCCTCCCCGGTTTTCGGTTTAAAGATGATCTTGTGACGGTTTCTCGCGCATTCGATCGATATGAAAGAGGAGGGCTTTATTGATTTGAAACGCCCGTTTGCCCCAAAAATGTCAAATCAAAGAATTTTTTTCTAAATGAATTTAAACTAAAAACACCTTATTAAAGTGATTTATCAATATTTCCATTCAATTTTGATACTTAAATATTTAGTATCAATTTAATCGCTTAGGATTAAATGTCATGATGAAAACAATTCGATTTTTTCCTTTTAATTTCACAACAATAAAATTTAGGAATTTATTAAATTCTTAATAAAGCTTTTCATGTTTGTCTTAAATTATTTTTTGACCTTGGGGCTAAAACGAAATTTGATATTAATGTATCAGGTTGCACAATGAAAACATTTATTTACAATAAATTTGAAGCAAACCGGAAGTGGTACTTTAAACGAATGTTTAGGGTGAACACGCCAGTGGTCGACCACTTAAGACATATTTCAATTTTCTTTTAATTAAGATTAAGATAGGTAGAACATTTACTTTTGGAAATCTACAACCGATTCATGCTAGGACAAAATAAAAATAAAATTACCGTATCTAATCTGCACCTTTTTTACAAATTTTATATGCTTTAAAATCAAATGTGGATTACAATCGGGTGCGGATAAGATTCGAGAAAATACTTCTCTTCTTCTCGTTATCCTTATGCCTGATGTCGTCGGATAAATCTCTTTCTATTCTTCCACCCACTTCTGCCACTCCTTCCGGTTCCTGGCTAATTCCTTTATATCAGCTAGTGTTCCCTTTCTTCTTCCCAACTTCTGCTGTTCTTTCCACCCACTCCTTCCTAGGTCTTCCCATCTTTTTCTTATTCTTAGCTTCAAATACCATTTTTACTATTGTGTTACGTTCCATTCTAATTATGTGGGCGTACCAGTTTAGTTGCTTTCTCTCTATTTTGCTGATTATCTCCTCTTGATCTACTCCCAGTCTTATTTCCTCATTCCTTATCCTATCCCACATCGACTTCCCCACTATTTTCTGTCAAAATTTCATTTCCATTGCTGTGATCATAATTCACATATTATGATCATACAGTGTGTCCCCGGATAGGTGAAACGACTCTTATAAAATGTAAAATATTTTCGATATTAATTGTCATCTTTTGGGGTTTAGCCTTGCTACTGAAGCGAAAACTTCTTGTGTGTCTGGTAAAGTCCCTTTTTCTGTTTACAGTATGGTAAAATGTGACTAAGAAATTTTATTCAGAATGAAATGTTATGGCCATATGGAAATTTTCGAAATCATCGGCCTATTTTAATAAAACCCATTGCTTATTATTTTCGTCAATAGTACTTTATTACTAGTACTTTACTTTATTATTAAATCTTTTGATTAAACGCCAACAAGTACTTCTTTTAATTCCAGTATTTGGAAATTTTTCACTAAATAAATATGGTTATTATTTATCGGTTTTCCCTCGGTTTCATACCGCTGAATCACGTAAACTTTTACCTCTTATAACATTGTAACGGTTAACCTTGTATTTAAAAAATACTTTAAGTTTACTAAAATACACTTTGTAAGATTAACATTGACAGGAAAGCAATTTTGTTTTTCCATGGCAGTCTTTGTTAGAAGTAAAATTTTTTGATATGGATTTTTATTAAAGTAAGTCGATCATTCCGAAAATTTGCATATGGCCATGATTTTTCATTCTGAACAAAACTTCTTAGTAACAGTTTCACGTACTGTAAACAGAAAAGGTACTTTACCTGCCACACAAAGAGTTTTCCTTTCACTGTCAAGGCTCACTTGTTTTTTAAAAATTGTGCATATGTTCAAAATTAGTCTTTAATCAAGCAGGGCTAAACCCCAAAATATGATAATTAATATTATTTATAAGACTCGTTTCACCTATCCGGGGACACACTGTATATATCACACATATGATGCGCATATGTGTTAATATTGAGACTGCCACCGAGTTGTACACTTTCAATTTTATCTTTCTATCTCCTTCCCACAAATTGTTCTGTTTAGAGTATGATATACGTTGTTTGTTTTCCTTATTCTTGTATTTATGTTTAAATCTATCCTTCCATCTTGTTATACTGCCCAAGTACTCATACGATGATACTTCTTTTATCTTTTTTCCATTAATAAATATTTCTTTCGGGTTATTTCTTATTTCCTTTTTATTTATTATCACGATTTTACATTTATTTACATTCAATTCTAGGACCATCTTTTCAATTTCTTCTGTTCATATTTCAACCAACTTCCTTGCCTTTTTATGGTTGTTTGCCATCAGCACTATGTCGCCAGCATATAGTAAATGAGTTGTCTGGTTTCAATATCCCCTAAATCCATTTTTGGGCAAAAATGAGATATATACGTCATCTGTTAGAAAAAGTTGTTTTCTATAAAATACTCAATGATTTGTATTAAAAAACGCGCGAATCCCTTAAAAATTCAAATCAAATAGACAGCCTTTAGATATTAAAGAGAGCTACTTTCGATTTATTTTTAATACTTCCTTCAACATCGGCTTTGGATCTCCTAGCACTGATGTTTGCTCTAAGTGTCATGAACTCCGGGAAAAAATTAAAAATGAAAAGGTTGCATCTATTAAAACAGTGCTAACTACAGAATACCGAATACATAAGTTCAGGGCCAAAGCATTTTTTGAACAGCTAAAAGAGAAACGGGACGGCCTTCTGACAATTTCTTTTGATTGTCAGAAAAACTTGGTATTGCCCAAAATACCAGATCAAAGTACCTATTATAGTAGACAACTGTACATTTACAACTTCACTACTGTAGTGGGGCACTCACATGCTCCGTTAACAAAAGATAATGTTAAAATTTTCACGTGGACTGAAGATGAACATGCCAAGGGCGCCAACGAAATCGCAAGCTGCGTCTTTTACACTTTAAACAATAGTAACTTAGAGGGAATAGATACACTTCGATTGGTCGCCGATGGATGCGGCGGCCAAAATAAAAATACCATTATGATATGTATGTTGTTCAAATGGCTAAGCAGTTCTAGTAGAACAATCGAGCTGGTATTCCCAGTGGTTGGGCACTCCTACATTCCACCTGACAGGGTTTTTGCTACTATCGAAAAATTGTAATGCCAGAAGAATACATAAATATTTTTCAAGAACATGCTACTGTTTTTAAACTTGGAAAAGATGTTCCCGATAGTGATTGGAAAGGTGCTGGTCAAAAAATCCTTAAGCCATGAATATTCAGCCAAAAGAAATTCCTACCGGAGTGAAACCAAAAGATCTGAAAATGAGAGATGTAAATAACTTGTTAAGCAAACATTATGGAAAGAACTGGAGAGCGGTAGAAAATTTGGCTTATTATAGAGATGTGTTGGGAAAATTTCAGAACAATAATATTCCTGGCGATTCTCGAGAAGACAGTGGGGACGAAGAGCCTAGTTTATGTGAATCAACCGAAAATATACCTGATGTTACAGTTTAAGAGTTTTTTAAGTACAGTTTTTAAATAACATATCTTTCAAAAAATAAAGTTTCCTGTTATTAGCTACAAAGAGATTTGATTCACTTTCAATTCATGCCTAATCCATTTTGTTCAGATTCAAATGAGCCTTAATCCACAGTTTGGTAGCAAACGCAACCAAACACCATTTTTAAATCCACTTTGTGATTTTTATATTTATTTCAAAAGACGTGGTTATAGAATTTTTGAAACTTCAGTAAGTCTTCTAATAACAAATAAATTATGTTTGAATTATTAACGCCAAAATCATCCCAAAATACTTTTTTGCCGTTTTCTCAAAATCGAAAAATTTGGACTTAAGGGTATTTGAAACCAAACAACTCAAATTATGTATTTTTACTGGTTCCAAACTTTTATAACCTATTACTGTTTGATATTTGTTTGTTCTTGTTCTTATATTTTTATATATATCACCCTGTCCATTAATATTATAAAGAACAAGGGGCTTAGGCTATCGTCTTGTTTTATTCCCTTGCTCATTTCAAAAGTTTTTAATGTTTCTCCCTTCATTTGTACTATGCCCTTGATTTTCTTGTACAGGTTTTCAATTATTTTTGTTAGTTTTTGTGATACCATTAGTTGTTCTAGACACTTCCATACAATACTACGGTTAACCGTGTCAAAAGCTGTTTTTAGGTCCAAGAATATTAGGTATAGTTTTCATTATATGTATGTTACCGTTCGTTTGTTTGCTTGCTTTGTATGCTGCTTGTTCATCTTCTAGTTTATTTTCCATTAGTCTTCTTAACCTTTTTTTATTATCTTTGGGTATAATTTGTAACTTGTAGATGATAGGCATATGGCTCTGTAATGTTCACAGTTCGATCTTCCTTTTTTTTGTTTTGGTAAGATGATATTATATGTTTCCAATCTTTCGGGATTGTTTCCGACTGCCATGCAGTTTTATACAGAGTGTTTAGATATTGGCGGATAATGTACACGTAGCAACATTCTACGATCCACTCTGCATCGAAAATCTTAATGTTAAAATGTTGTTCTACTATGTTGCCATATGTGTTTTTCACGAAGCTAAAGAAAATAACTTTAACAAAAAAGCTAGCTTTCAAAATGTTTTTTATATTCTAACTTACAGCTGACTTATCAACAGATATTCAATATTCATGATTATTTCTGAA